AACTTTACATCCCTTGAATATAGAATATTCTTTTTGGGCTACTTAGAAAAATTGATCATATAAAAAGCACCTTAGTAAATTCAAAGGAAAAGATATATTTATAGATTTTGGTTCTCTGATCATAATCCATTAATGTTAGAAATAAATAACAGAAGGTAATAAGAAAGAAATTTTATTATTTAGAAATCAAAAGTCAAGTTGCAAACTATCTAGAAATCAATAATAGGAACACAATCTATTCTACAATCTAAGGGACAGAGTGAAAGCTGTAGCCAGGGGAAAGTTTACAGCCTTTAGATATTTTCATTATTTAAGAATAATGACAAAGTGTACTCTTAATGTGAAATGGGGAAAAACAAAACAATATGACCTAAAATAAATTAGAAAGCAGGAATAATAAAGATACAAGTTGAACTTAATGAAATAAAAAATGATAGAAAGGATAAATATATATAATAGCTGGTTCTTTGAAAAGTGCAATAAAATAGATATAAGAATTTGTGTGTCTGATTAGGAAACTATTATAATAAAGAGTAAAAAACATGGAAGACTAGGATTGAGAAAAGGATCATAATCAGAGCTACAGGGATGATGCAAAGAAGATAACAAAGACAACAAAGATAGAATTCATTCAGCTCTCTAGCAATGAATTTGAGAAACCAAAAGAAATGGATTTTTTTCTTTGCTAAATGTAAACGTCCAAATTTGACTAAGGGAGAAATGGAAAATTTGAATAGGACGGTGACCACAGAAGAGATGGAAAAGTGATTAAAGACCTACCACTGAAAATGGCAGTGGGATCATATGGAATTACAGCTGAGTATCATGTAGCTTTTAAAGAACACATAATTGTATCATTATTTAAACTGTTCTAGAAGAAGATGAAAAGCTCCTGATTCATTTACAAAATAAACATACATTTAATACCAAAACCTGACAGAGCACAAAAAAGTCTAGAAACCAATTTAATTTTGAATATGGATGTAAAAATTCTAAATAAAATGTTAGCAGGTAGAACCCATCAGTGTATTTGAGGACCCAATTATGACCAGATAGGGTTTATTTCAAGAATACAAAAGAGAACATCTATCAGTGCAGTCTATTACATGATCAAATTAAAGGTAGAAAACCGTATGATCACATCAATAGATGCTAAAATTAATAAAATGTATAAGTACTACTAATGAAAACTATAAGAGGAGAAAGAATGGAAAGAAACTGCTTAGACTGGCAGACTGACAAAAACTTAAAAATTCAATAACTATTGATGTTATGGGAGGAAAAATACTCATTACCAGTTGAAGTATGTATTATAGCCATTTTGGAAAGCAATCTGGCAACATAGGTTAGAAACAATATCTATTTGATCCAGGAATTCTACTCTTTATTCTCTTAAAGAAATAAACCATCCACATGTAAGGATATGTATTACGAGGTTGTGTTTTACAGTATTGTTTGTGTCGGGGAAATATGGAGACAAAAGAATGCCCACCAGGAGAGGAATGGTTGGATATATTACAATACATCCAAATGGTGAAATATGCAGCCATTATAAAAGGAATTTAGGGCTATATCAGTTGAACTGCGAGACTTTAATGAGCCATTATTGAGTAGGAAAAGCACGATGCAGAAAACTGGGTATGATAAACTACTTAATAAAAAAAATAGAAAAGGATTGTTTATTTGTGTCTTTACAATTAAATGAACATGGAGAAATACAGATGTTCTTCGATTTATGATGGGGGTTGTGCCTGAAACCTATTGGAAGTTGAAAATACTGTAAGTTGAAAATACATTTAGTACACCTAACCTGCTGAACCTCATAGCTTAGCCTAGCCTACTTTAACTGTGCTTGGGACACTTACGTTAGCTTATGGTTGGGCAAAATCATCTAACACTCTGAAGCGTTGAGTATCTCATGTAACTTATGGAATACTGAAAGTCAAAAACAGAATGGTTTTATAGGTACTCGAAATACAGATTCTACTGGATGCATACCATTGTAAAGTCGAAAAATCATAAATTGAAACATTGTAAGCTGGGAACTATCTGTATGTAGAAGAAAACATACCAGGTAGTTAATGTGGGTTCCTGGGGCAGGGGACAGGCAGGAGGGGTGACATTTGGGCTGATACCGGTGGCAGAGAAACGAATCAAATGAAAAAGAACACACACGTCACTAATAAATAATATGTATGATGACTTCTGTATGTGTACATGAATGGGTGTGTGTGTGTGCATGCTCGTGCATACATGTGCAAATGAAATCTTAAAGGTAGGGAATGCCTATTGCCTTTTGTTCAATTATTTATTTATAATTTCTGTAGTACTAAGTAAAAACAATAAATTCTCAAAGCCCACAGCATGGTAACTGTATTATGGCTCTTTGGGTTGTGACAGAAATCTGATCAAAAACCAGCATAAGCAAAAAAGGGGGGTTTATTGGCTCACAGAAGCCTTTACAAGCCATTGGACCTAGAAACTCGGTTAAGGTGTCATCAGCATGGCTCTGTTTTTTTGCCTCTGCCTGCATCTTTGTCTCCCACTTTCCTTTACTTCTCTTTATATTTTTGGCTTTATTCTCTCTTATCCTCCCTTTTGATGGCATGGCAGTTCCTTGAGACACCTTTTCCTGGTTCTGTGCCCTCTCCCCTGGTCCATGGCGTATCCTCTCTTCCCCTAGCTTCAAATAAAAAAAGTTCTAGGCAGGAGCTTTGAGAGGACTGATTTGGGTCACATGCCCATTAGACTAATCTCTGTGAGCAGGGGAACACTGGACTCCTGTCATCAGCCAGGCCTGGGTCCCAAGTCCCCAGCTTGGGACAGAAGGAAGGTACTGCGTTAGCGCAGCCCAACTGCAGTTGCATAACTCGAGTGAGTGGGGAGCAGGCCCCAGGAAGCGGGGCAGCTGGGAGCGGGGAGCAGCGTGATCTAAAGGAGATAAAAAGATCCTAGGTAGACGGAAACAACAGATGTCCACTGGAGGGACTTTGCTTCAAAATACGAGCCAAGTTTGCATCTGCACTGTCAAGGGAATTAAGTAGCAGAGTAAAGGGGATTTGAGTCAAATAGTAAGAGGTGTACATTTAGGGCCGTGAACATAATCATTTGTCTCATAGTCCAGGAGCTTAAGTTGATTTATGAGAATTACAGTAGGTAATTATCCATTTGTGTAGTCTTACCCCCAGATGATTTATAAAAGAATTAAAGACTGTGAACTGGTTGGTAAGGAATGCCAGCTTCATATATGTATTTTTCTAGGAAAAGAAACCTGTTTATATTTATTTTGAAGGCAATTTTAGGGTACCAGATTCTTTGCCCAGTGCCTGGTGAGACATACTTTTAACACCTCTTGTTCTCACCAAGGTATGCTCCAAATTTGATCATCCCAGAGATTCAATCCATTTTTCCCTTTTATTGATATATAATAATTTACATATTTATGAGACACAAGTGAGTGCTTGTTACATGCAAAGGAACGTATAATAATCAAGTCAGGGTAATTGGGTTATTCAACACCTTGGGCGTTTGTCATTTTTAAGTATTGATACCATTTCAAGTCCTCTCTTGTAGTTGCTTTGAAACATATATATTAGGAATATTTTTGCTAAGTACAGGCACCCTAGTCTGCTATCAAACATTAGAACTTATTTCTTCTGTGTGTTTGTACCCATAACCAATCTTTCTTCACCGCTAGTTTCCCCCCCGACACCCTTCCCAGACTCTGGTATCTATCATTCTATTCTGTATGTGCATGAGATCAAGTTTTTTAGCCCCCACATATGAGTGAGAACACGTGGTATTTGTCTTTCTGTGGCTGGCTTATTTCACCTAATACAATGATCTCTATTTCTATCCATGTTGTTGGAAATGACATTATTTAATTCTTTTTTATGGCCAAATAGTATTCCATTGTGTATAGATACCACATTTTCTTTATCCATTTGTTTGTTGATGGGCATTTAGGTTGATTCTGTATCTTGGCTATTGTGAATGGTGCTGCTATAAACATGCGATTGCAGGTATCCGTTTAATATACTGATTTCTTTTCCTTTGGATAGATACCCAGTAGTGGGATTGCTGGGTCATATTGTATTTGTATTTTTAGTTTTCTGAGAAATCTCCATACTGTTTTCCATAGTGGTTGGACTAATTTACATTCCTGCCAACAGTATTGATTTATATTAATGCCTGGTTAGTAAGATGATAGATAAGTGACTGATATTTTAACTTTGTGAAACAAATTGATGGACTTACCTACAGATTGCATAGAAAAAGTAAGCCGATTTAAAATACCCATTGGTAGAAAAATCTGTGAATTTTGTATGTAGAAAGATCTGTATCTATAAAAATAGCCAAAATATTTAGTCATAGATTTCTTGTTTTCTTTTGTAACATTTTTTACTGTGAAAGATAACACTAGAGTAGAAAACAGTACATGCGATGGTAGACCACAAAGTGAGCACTCATGAGGACCACCCAGCTCAAGAAAGGGAACATTGTCAGCCCCTCTGCGGGCTGTGTGGAGCTGTGCCGGCACTGCCCCTCCGTCCCCTCAAAGGCATTTGCTGTCCTGACTTGTAAGCTAATCACTTCCAGGCTTTTCTTCAGAGCTTTACCACTTAGGCTTGCATTCCTAAACAGTCTAGCTTAGCTTTGCCTGCTTTTTGAATGTCATACAAATGGACTCAGATTGTGTGTGCTCTTTTGGGTCTGGCTTCTTTCTCTCAGCGTCACAATGGTCGTCCACAGCTTTTGACAGCAGTGAAGGCAGGGTGGCAATGGGCCGGAATGAGTATCTCTTAGAGGAGCAAATAAAACTCCAACTACTTGTAGCCCTGTAAAGTTATACATTTTAGGTTATTATTCAAGTTTTTTGAGTAACCTTAGAGTCATAATGAGACAGATAAAAAGAATTTTTTTTTTTTGTAAGAACTCTAGTAGTTGGTAGCCTGGCTTCTCAAAAGGAACAATCGCTAAGCTGTTTTGTGCCATTCCAGAAAGAAATACTTGTGCTGGCTGCGTTTCCAGGGATGTTTCCAGAGCTCAAGGCTGTTTGCCCGTTCTGCCCAGAAGTGCCACTCTTAGAGGCAGGACTCGATGAAGGCTTTCCGGCTGATGGAGTGGGTTTGCGAGAGTCGGCCTTGGAATTAGAGTAGGTATCTTTTTTATTGGATATTTGAACATTTAGTATTTTCTTTGCGTGTCACCAAGAAGTTCCCTGTATGAATTTTTATAAATATAAACATGATCACGTAACGCTGTATCTCAACATATTCAAAGGTCTGATAGAATATTTCTGTGACAAAAGCTTTGCTTTGAATAATAGCTCAAAATTGTCAAGCAAATAAATTAAGTTCACAGAATTATCAGCTAGAAATTGTGGCTGGCCCAATGTAGAATGTTCCTGCTACTCTTCTAATGGTTGGAACCTTGGTACAGAGAGTGTGAATGTGACCAGCTGACTGTCAGATGCTGACAATATAATGTATTCTCATACATAAACCTTTTATTGGTGTTTATATTTGTCTACTCTAGCTTTCTGTGTGTTTAGATGTAATTTTGCTTAGTTATGCTCGTTGGATGTTTTACTTTCTCTTTTCTTGATGTCTTTGTGTATGTGTTTATGTACTATCTTTTCCTCTTTCACCTGACTCCACATACCTCAGTCCTTTCTGTGGCAATGGGGCAATTGCTTCTGCCAATCCGCCTATTATTATCTGCTTCGGTACACCTGGATTTGGGAGGGCATGAAAGCTGGATGGGAAGGTGGCTGCAAAGAGAACATGACGTGTTCTGTTTGGATGCACCAGTGGTCTGTGTTGGCTCTCGGGGGCTGTCGAAGAGCACTGTATTCAGCAGGGAGTGAATGGGAGCTGCCCAGGGCTAGGGACCATTCTGTGAAGGCAGCTGGGACTGGGAGTGGTGGCCAGGGTAGAACACCTTCTTGTTCTTTGGCCATGATCCTGATGGTGTCCATCCCATAGAAGGGAAGAAATACCAGCTTTGTGGAACTGTGGGCAAGACGCAGTCACGTTTTGCAGTGACGTGGGCGTGCACATCCTGAACAGGATCGGGGTCAGGATGAGGAAAAGTATTAGGGCACATGGAAGGAACGCAGTAGAAGAGTTGATGTTTGTGTCTGTAAATCTTTTTGTGTGTGAGACTAGATACAGAGAGTGGTTCCTGGGAGCAGTTTTGAAATACAGGCATTCATGTACAGTAAACTCTATTTTTAAAACCCCTACCTACATTTCTTGGCTTGTCACCAAAGATTCTATTGATTGACTTCCTTTTGCTACCAAGTATCCATCTTGCCACCAATACCATTATGCATTCTTGTAGAACAGGAAGTAAATTAAAAAATTAAAGTCATAAATAAAAAGGAAGATAATATGTATTTACAAGTCAGCTATTCATGATTTTTAAAATTATCCAAGTTTGGCTACTCACTGTCTTTTCACTGTTAATGCAGTAAGATCCACAGCAAATTATAATTGCTAGCATAGTTCCACTATGCTTCTCAGAACTGCTGTGACAGCTTTCTGCTATTATTGCTTGGGGGTGTGCTTGGAAATTCAAATACATATTGATATTTATTCTAAGCAAAACACAATTGAAGATGAATCTACTACCAAAAATACCACATACATTAAAGCTAAATAAAAATGATTTCCTATATTTCTGCTCCCTTCCAATAGTACTGATAATTGAGAACTGTGTGTATGAAATCAACCTTCAGCCATTTGTCTGAAGCTGGTAGTAGCCAATAATAGTAATATTAAGGACTGTAGATTCTATTACACTTTCTGTTTCCTACAGAAAGAGAGTTTACATGAAATAAAGTGAGTGAGTAGGTGAACACTGAGTATTTCTTGATAGCCATGCATGAATGATTGATTCTTCACGTCTGGATATGTAACTGTGTAACTGATATCTGTGTTTGCTTCCCTTCCTTGGGAATTAGACTTGACTTGCTTATAATGCCGGTATATTGGGTGTTAGAAGCTTCATTTGTCCTTGAGTGAATGTATATGTACAGCAATGGTTTTCAGGATGAGTATTGAAACAGAAAGTTTGAAATTAAATAGTCAAACAAAGGCATTTATGTAACAAATTTCTTTACACTGAGAAGGTGAGAACAGTTTGCACTACTTAAATGTGCTCTCATCTCTATCAGAGCTCTCTGAAAACACATTTTTAACATTTACCCTTAAGATTCCCTTCTTTTATGTGTTCCTAAGCACTATTGAGGGTATTTAGACACCTGATATTTATACCAGCAATATTCTGAATTAGTCTACTATTTCTGATCATGTCCCATTCTATTTTGAAAGAGGTCAGAATTTGTTACGAGTTTCAGCGTGAAAACCTCTTGTATCTAGACTAAAGCATGCACTAGAGCACATAGCTAGCTCTATAGTGTACTTTACACCCATTAGGATTCTCAATTCCTTCCTGACTGTCATATATGTGGACTGAAATGGCTAAGGATGAAGATAACACTTTGCTGTCCTGGGAACAGTAATGCGTGAAAAGATGAAGGAGATTTAACCTTTTAAGTCCATTGCTTCTAATTCTTGAAGCTCAGAAAATTCCATAAAGCACTTTTCAGAAACACCTTTTCCATGAACTGTTCATTATAGAATCTCTTTTTTTCTTTACAGACCCTTCATATGGCCTTTATAAACATGCGTTTGAGACAAGCGTTTTGTGCAGAAGCCGAAAATGCCTGGAAGATTTCTTGTTTCTCTCACTACTTTTCCAGCCTTTTTGCATCTCTGCCTGATTTGGATGATATGATATTCAGAGGGGCACCTTAATCGAAGCCGTTCCTCAACAAGACACATCTGGCAGAAGATAGTACGTGTAATTCAAGATGGCCAGCCAGCCACCCGAAGACGCTGCGGAGTCTCAGGTCTCTGATGAGCTCGAGTGCAAGATCTGTTATAACCGATACAATCTGAAACAGAGGAAACCCAAAGTGCTGGAGTGTTGTCACAGGGTTTGTGCCAAATGCCTCTACAAGATCATAGATTTTGGGGACTCCCCACACGGTGTCATCGTCTGTCCTTTCTGCAGGTTTGAGACATGCCTGCCGGATGATGAAGTTAGCAGCCTGCCCGATGACAACAACATCCTCGTAAACTTGACTTGTGGAGGCAAGGGGAGGAAGTGCCTGCCAGAGAACCCCACCGAGCTGCTGCTGACCCCCAAAAGGCTGGCCTCTCTGGTCAGTCCTTCCCACACGTCCTCCAACTGCCTGGTCATCACCATCATGGAGGTGCAGAGAGAGAGCTCCCCATCTCTAAGCTCCACTCCCGTGGTAGAATTCTACAGGCCTGCAAGCTTCGACTCTGTCACCACTGTGTCACACAACTGGACCGTGTGGAACTGCACGTCCCTGCTGTTCCAGACATCTATCCGGGTGTTAGTGTGGTTGCTAGGTCTTCTGTACTTCAGCTCCTTACCCTTGGGGATCTACTTACTGGTATCTAAGAAAGTCACCCTCGGGGTCGTCTTTGTCAGCCTGGTCCCTTCAAGCCTGGTTATTCTTATGGTGTACGGTTTCTGCCAATGTGTTTGTCATGAATTTCTAGACTGTATGGCACCTCCTTAATCAATATGCAAAATAACAAATTTGACACACATTGCCATGTGTGAAGTTAGGTACTTTATAATTTAGTTTCTTTTATGTTCTTTATGATTAGTGTCCATGACATTAACAGAGCCCTTGGCCGTATGTTTGTGGTCCATTTTCCATCAGAATGTTGACTGGACTGGTTTTCCTGTATGCTGGAAGCAAAAATGTTCTTTTCTACTTAGGGCTTAGAAAGAAGCAAAACTGTGTAAACTCAGCCTTCATGGAGCACTGACAGCTGTGAGTCTTCTCAGAGCAAGGGCAAGATGTCACTTGGCACTGGCAGCCAGACAGCAGGGGTGTGGTGTGTGTTGTAGTACAGGTCGCTGTGGAAAGTTAGGAATGAACTGATTCCCTTTTTCAGAATCATGGCTGTTCTACGATGGCAGGTGGACACGAGAGGACAGTTGCTCTGAGACACATCCATTTGCAAAGCGCGCACGCTTGCGCCCCGCCCCCGTTAGTCCTAGCGTTGGGTCCCCCTGGAATCATCTTTCGGTGTTTTCTCTCAAGTTAATGTGTCTCTCTGTGGTCCGCTGTGCCCATTGAGATGCCTGTTCCCTCTGCACGTTCTTTCTTGCTAAGGGGACGCTATTCCCTTGTGTGGTTTCAGCTGAATATCTGTTTTGCCACGTTACTAGGGATAATGAAAACATCGAGGAGTTTCCATGGCAGAATATGGCCATTTGTCTTTGAGACTTACCCTTTCCTCATGTTTATTTTCCTGTCTCCTCAGCCTTCTCTGAGAACAACTGAGGAGAATGAACTTCTCGTAGAACAGTTTTTATTCATGGAAACTTTCATTTGAGTCTTTCCTTAAAACGTTTTAGTTTTTTTTTCTTTTTAGCCACGTTGCTCAATAAGCCCCACCCCTTATCCTCAATGAGGTTCTATTTTAATTAATTGCTAGAGGCCCGGTGCGGTGGCTCACGCCTGTAATCCTAGCACTCTGGGAGGCCGAGGCGGGCGGATTGTTTGAGCTCAGGAGTTAGAAACCAGCCTGAGCAAGAGCGAGACCCCGTCTCTACTAAAAATAGAAAGAAATTAATTGGACAACTAAAAATATATAGAAAAAATTAGCCGGGCACGGTGGCGCATGCCTGTAGTCCCAGCTACTCGGGACGCTGAGGCAGAAGGATCGCTTGAGCCCAGGAGTCTGAGGTTGCTGTGAGCTAGCATGATGCCATGGCACTCTAGCCTAGGCAACACAGTGAGACTCTGTCTCAAAAAAAAAAAAAAAAAAAAACAAAAAAAAAAAATTAGTTGCTAGAAATTTATGAGGACTTTCTTTTTTTCCCATTGCATTTTAAATTCTGTCAGGATTTATTTAATTTAGTCTTAAAACAGTATGGGGCAAATTGTGACAGTGGAAACCCAGAAATAATTAACGAGACACTTTAGCTCACAGTTTGAAGTGCTGAGAACCTAAGTATGTTGCTGTGCTGAGTTATACCAAAATATAATGGTTTGGGTCTACGTGCAAGGCTGTGTTTTTTTGTTTTTTTTTTTTTTGAGACAGAGTCTCACTCTCTTGCCTGGGGCGAGTGCCGTGGCGTCAGCCTAGCTCACAGCAACCTCAAACTCCTGGGCTCAAGCAATCCTACTGTCTCAGCCTCCCGAGTAGCTGGGACCACAGGCATGTGCCACCGTGCCCAGCTAATTTTTTCTACATATATTTTTAGCTGTCCAATTAATTTCTTTCCATTTTTTGGTAGAGACGGGGTCTCGCTCTTGCTCAGGCTGGTCTCAAACTCCTGGGCTCAAGCAATCCTACTGTCTCAGCCTCCCGAGTAGCTGGGACCACAGGCATGTGCCACCGTGCCCAGCTAATTTTTTCTACATATATTTTTAGCTGTCCAATTAATTTCTTTCCATTTTTTGGTAGAGACGGGGTCTCGCTCTTGCTCAGGCTGGTCTCTGAACTCCTGGGTTCAGAACGATCTGCCCGCCTCGGCCTCCCGGAGTGCTAGGATTACAGGCGTGAGCCACTGTGTCCGGCCTAAGGCTGTGTTTTGTAGTGGTCCGGGCAGAGGGGTGGGCAAGAGACACTCGAGCTGATGCCCTGTGTGAAAAGACCCTTCCAGAAAGTAAAATGAGAGGGCTGAGTGCAGCTTAATATGTTGCTGCCCTGTTGTCCTTAAGTTAGTTTTGGAATGGATTCAAGTTCTTACACAATTTTTTTTTCAAATAAAAGCATAAGCCAGGTGACTGGAGTTAATGAACTTCTTTTCATAATGTAGAGGAAGTTGAATGTATATATTTATGAGAAAAATTGTTTAGCAGATTATAGGTTGAGTGAATAGAATGTTCACAGAAACTAAGCAAAAAAAAAAGAAAAAGCATTTTAGTCTCTAAGACCCATTACTGATGATTAACATGAAAATATTTGTAACTTTTAGAAAGGGGCATTACTATGACTACTTTAACTTGTTTGTGATGAAATATTTATTGTGCAATATAGTTTCACTGGGCCAATTCCAATATCCTTATTCAGGGAAAATTGACACTTAACTAGAATAGGAGTTCGATTTTAATTGTGTAACTATTAACTTTGAGAATATGTATGCCCAAGCTAAGTATGATGAGAAAGTATACGTGGGATGTGGTCCAATGAATTTAAACCCCAAGATACAGCTAAATGCATTTATGGTTTCATAAAATCTAGTTTAGATAGCATCGTGAATGCAATTTCCAGAAATCCATTTGTACTTAGAGTAAATATAATGTTTAGGAGATGTTTTGTGGTTTGGATTTATATATTTGTAAGGTTTTTTAAAAATGCTCATTTTGTCTGAAATATGCCATTGAATAAATTGGTGAGGTATCATGAGATTTCTAGAAAGCTCTGGACATGGGTACTATATATTTTGCTTATTGGTATAACATCTGCAGTGCTGAATCTGTGTTTCTGTGTATTGTGGCAGTCTTTTTTTTTTTTAAGTTGTGAGTAAGTTAATTTCGTTTTAAAGAGTTATAAATGTATGACAACAAAAAACTCTTAGTGTTGTTGAATGAAAAGGGACAATGTTTTAATATTTTATTCACTGTGATAATGTTTTGTTTGTCTATTAAATTGTTATTATTTCCAAACTAGAAGTTTGATTTCTCTGACTCATGGTTGAAATTCAGTTATTACTTTGGACCTCTGTTAACTTTAGATAACTGCAAATGTGAACTTTCAGAAACGCTAATGCCTATATCATGTGCACGGAGATTTCAGAACTTTTCAGCAAAGGGCACCTAACCTATCACAACTTTAAAAGGCCCTCATACCTTTTTTTTAAAGCAAGGGAGAAAAATTAGGGGAGATGAAATAAAAATATTGTCTTTATAAATAAATTTTGTGTTTTAATTTGTTGATTTTATTTCCAGGTTTTGCCTAGCTGCTCAATGAAATGGAATTCAGTTTAGCTGGGGAATCATGGTATGGGCAAATTAAAAAAATTACCTGCTATCTAAATATGACCATTGTTAGGCAAAGTAGAAATAATTTGGGAATATATAGTAGTTCTATGCTTATGACAATTAGAGAATTGGCACCATATGTTAAAAGTAATTGTTTCTTTCACTTCTGAAATCTTCACATAGAGAAGCAAAGAATCAGGTTAAAGAAAGCAGTTACCTGTGTTAGTCATAACCTACAGTGTGAATTCATGCTTATCTACGGAGACACCTGAAAGCCATGAGCATTTGCTCAGTTGTAAACAGATACTGGGCTTCAAAGACACCGTGAAGAAAACTCTTAGCATGTCAACCAGGTAGACCCAAAGCCAAAGAAATCCTGGTATTGATAGGCTGATATAAGTTATAAATATGAGCTCTGTGGGTGCTGGGGTACAGATGAGAGGTGCAAACGAGTTAACTTGAGAGTATAATGGAGGGAAGCTATGATTTTATGTGTTTCTGCATTTTTTGTGTTTGCTCTTTTTGCATAGTCTTCTTGGTAGAAAACTACTACTGTGTTACTGCCTTGATTCTTTTGAAACACCACATATTATTCCAGAGCTTCGCTCAAAACCAGTGAGGGTCTTGGTTCAAGGTAAGCTCCCTGCAAGAGTTTAACCATTTGCTCTTGAAGTTTAAGTTTTGTGTGCTTTCCACACCTTTGCCCCTTTGTTACAGGTTTAATGATCTTTACTTCAATACCCTTCATGAAGTTTTACTCCTCTGTGAGGTAGAGGCTTAGTACTGGGTCCTTCCTTACAAGTTTACCTTTGTGTAAAAAAGATTTTAAAAATGTGGATAATTATAGCAAGTGTTGAAATTTGAGTAAATTCCAAGTGAGTCCTAGAGGCAGTACAGTTCAGCCCAATTCCTTATATTATTTAAATCTGTGATATAATCCAAATACTCAGTGTACAGATACTTGTGGTTCTGACATGAAGGTGCTTGAAGCTTTTGAATAAAAAAACCAAAAATTAAATTATGTCCTGAATACTGTGTATACTTAGCAGAGATGTGTGCTAATGTATTTTTAAAAGTTGCTGAACCTTGATGTAATTAAAACATTCAATTAACTAAAACAATTAGTCTGCAAGCATTTTAATTAGGAGTTTATTAGATTTGTAGCATATTAACCCTTTAAATGGAGAGGGTTGGAATGTCATAAGAGAAAAGAATGTGCTGGGACAGTAGGTCATTTTAGATAGTGGTTTTCCCATGAAGTGTAAAGAAAGATACAAGTTTCTTTTTATGTTCAGGTCATTGACCTCAGATAAGAGGTCTGGCCTGGAGACATAGCTTTGGGAGTCTCTGGCATTTTAGTAGCAACTAAAAGTGAGGGGGTAGAGAAATGTTGAACCCAGAGAGAAAAGAGCCAAACGCTGGGCTCTCCTTTGATGCTCAGGGGAGGAGCTGGAGGAGGGACTGCCTTGGAGATCCCAGAGGGGAAGGAACGGAAGCCGGAGGCAGTGCGGTCACTGGAGCCACGGAAAGGAGGTGGGGTGAGGATTATTAGGTGAATGGAAGCAGATTCAGATTGGTTTATGAAAAAAAGGTTCTTCAGGCGTTTTTCATGAAGATTTTCAAAGACACAGGAAAGTTGAAAGAATAGAATAATTATCACTTGTGTACTTTCCATGTAGAGTCAATAG